AACAAAATTAATGATTACCATAGATTTGGGTTCATCTTTTCAAGTCAAGTTGTATTTTCATGGGTCCATTTTAAGGAAGGATTGAAGCCCAAGTTTCCGAAGGCTAGTGGTCTTGGCCCAGGTTGACCGAATGGAACTGATCACGTCTTTGACAGAAAAAACATAGGTTGAGGATGTGTTTGAAATTATCGTAAAGTGTTATGATTGTAATTGTAATTATAGTTATAGTTGTGATTGTGATTGTAATTATAATTATAGTTATAGTTGTGATTGTACTCATCTGTACTATATTGCAACTATAACTGAAAGTTATTGTGGTGTTTGATTATTTATTTATTAAAAGCATTATAAATAAAATATAATAGATTTGATTAATTATTAATTAAAATTTAAAAAATATTGTAAGATGTATAATTATTAAACTAGATAATTTTACTATTTTTTAATAATTTAAGTTTTTAAATTTGTTATCAATATTAAAATATTATAAATTATAATAAATTAAATTATACAAATTTAGGTTTTAATAAATAATTTTATAATTATATTAAACATTATGTGTTTTTTGTAAAACTATAGTCAGAAAGGTTCAAAATGAGAATTCTAATTTTATATATAAAATTATTATAATTCTGATATGATTTTATGTAATTTTAAAAAAAATAGTTTGAAAAAAAATTATTAAACACATATATATTTAAAAATATTATATAATTACACGAAAAAACTTTGAACCGTAATTTCAAACACACTCTTAACTTCTTTTTTTTTTATTTATTTTAAGCAGCGCTACATGCATAATAAAAAAAAAAAAAAAAGGCTACAAGCATAATAGGAGCTCATTTCGTATATTTCAATATGATATTTGATGAAACGAAGTAAAGATATATAATATAGTATAATGATTTATTAAATAAAAAGAATTTATTATTAAATAACACATCATAATTATACATAAATATTATACTTAAAACATAGCATGCCTATCATTTTTAATTTTTTTTAATGCTTTACATTTTACAAAGCATTTAATACATGTCTTTAGGGAATGTTTTCGAAAACTTGCAAACTTAAAATCTCAATTCTTAAAATCCTACTATTTGAAATTCTTATGATCAAAAGAAAACCCTATCCGCCCCCTCCCTTCTCTCACCTTGATTTTATCCTCTCTTTTTTTTTCTTGTTTTCTTCCTACTAGTTGTTGATGCCTTTCTCCTCCTTGGTTAATATAGATGGCTAAAGGTGAGAGTTTTCTCATCTCTTGTGAGAGTTTTTTCCTCTCTAGTGGAGGTTTCTCACTATTTTTTAGGGTTTCTAAGTTGACTTTCTTGATTTTTTTTATCAAGATGTGCTCATCAAAGAAAGATTGTAATTTAAACGTGATATTAATTGGACATTTATTACTTGTTGTGCTTGTTTTGATTGTTAAAAGCATGGTTAGGAGTAGGTACCTCATTTCATTTTTCTACCCCAACCAATTTATCTTTTGTTTAGATGAATTATACTAAAATATAGTTTAACTGTTAAATTTTAAATTTGAGTCTAGTTGAAATATTCACATAGACATTAGTTCATTTGATTTTGTGCTTTCAAGTATTTTTTAAGTGTAATATATATAACGTATTAATGTATTATTCTCTCCGTTCATTTTTGGTAGACCTATTTTAATATTTTGACTTTTTGAACATTAATTTTAGATGAAAATTTAATATATTATATAAATGGTAATTGAAAGTTTTTTTTTTTATCAAATAAAAGTACTCAACAAGAACTAGATGAGGAAGAAAAATACTTTTCAATTGTTGTTCATAGGAATTGTTAAATTTTTATTTGAAATTCATATTTGAAAAATCAAAAGTCAAAATAAATTTATTAAAAATGAATGAAGGGATTACCTCATTAGGGTTGGTTTTATAACCTTTATGATTTTTATATATCAATAAAATTTTACCTTTCATAAAAAACAAATTTATACTTTTAGTTGCCAGTGCTAAATTTTGTTTTAAATAAATTTTTAATTTCTAATTTTAATTTTTTAATATTAATTTTTAATTTTTATAAAATTTATAGATTCTAAAAATAAAACTCAAAATTATGATTAAACTAAATGCACCTTAAGCGTTCAGACGTCTACGGCTCTACTTACCTTCAGGTCCATTCCACAAACTCAAAATCAAAAAAAATTTTTTTTGATAGAAAATAGATAATTATATTAAATATAAAGAGATTACAGATGAATCTCTAGCAGGGCATTATAGCCAAATTAAGGGCAGAAGCGTAACCTACAGCATTAGTAACAGATTTAAACTGTGCCCATGACATATATGGACAATTAAGCGAAGAGGGCCATCTATGACTAAAGATTGTAGCTACAATCGCTGTAAGGGCCAAAAATAGGGCTACAAAAGTAGAAAAAGGAAGTCGCTATGAGTGTCTGAAACTACTGAACATCCTCACCTATTTAGCCAGCTTCATAGGGAGAGCAGGGAAAATTCGAACATCAGTAGTCCCCAACCACTATATGTCATCCCTAAAAACAGTTTCAATCAATAGGAGGGCCATGCTCCTCCATACAGACCCAGGCATGGGCTCCCAACCATGCCCTAACTATTCCAATCCTTTGCAAACCCTTGTTGCCAAATTTCGATAAGGGAACTAGAGCCCCTTTTGAGACTGAAATGGCATTCTCCCCCGCAGCGACTTCACCAACCTCATCCTTTTCCTTTGGCTTACGACCGAAAAAACCAATCAGCCTCCAATGACTACCACTCGGATACCCTAGATCTAAGCAAAACAGAGGCAT